CGCGCACGAGCGTCACGTACACCCGGAAGCGCAGATCGACGATGTCTTGGAGTCCGCCGAACAGGTTCTTCAGGCTGTGGAGGGAGGGCTGTAGTGACAGTAAAACAGTGGACAGGACTCACACTCGAAGACAAACGAGACTCTGTTTCGCGGGTTTGGGTTTCAGAGTCTGTTCACAGAAGGCCTGAATCAGTTGAGAGGACTCTTGCGATGACTGCGGCACCGAAACGATGAGCAGAGATACCACGGAATTGAGAACCGACTCGACGTCCGACTCCTTCGCGCCCTCGCGGAAGAGCACATCGCAGGCGGCGATGATTTGCTTCAATTCGCCGATAAATGTCTCGCTTTTGGTGAAGACTGCGCCCAAAGACTCTAAGTATTCGCGCAGTTCTTCGCACTGCGGATCAGAGAGGGTTAGTGTGGGTGGAGATGACGGCAGAAGGGATGGCAAACCTGTTCCGATTCGGAGATATCGATGAAAGTGGGAATCGATGACATCTTCGCCGACACGTGTGAGCGCTGGAGAGCAGAGAAGGCTTTTGCAGACAATACAGCCTTCGAAGCGTTGCTTTCGTCTACAAGCGATTCTGTGTTTGGCGAAATCAATACATTTGTCAATACTCTGCGCCGACTTTGCATTCGTTTTGTGCTTACGAGAGGCGATTGCGTTGCGTATAGAGAAAGGGCCCAAAAGGCTGCGAATAACTGTAAGGAATCAATGAAAAGGTGTTGACAACAAATACGTCCCAAAAGACGAGATAAGAAACAAAGTTTTGAGCGAAGATTGCAATCAAATGACCGGAAATGAGAGGAGAAGCGCACGGAGTGTCCGATTGGGGGCCGAGTCGTGGCGTTTGGCGACCGTCCGGCCGTCCGAATGCTTCGGGAGAGCAGTGTTTGCTTCGATGTCTTGCGGTTGTAGTAAATGTGAGGAAATATCGATCGCTTTCGTCAGCAATCATGTGATCAGTCATTGATTTAACGATTTTTGACTCGAAATGAAGTGAAATTGGG